TTTTTCGTTCTTTCCGTCCCGCGTGATCTTGTGTCTTTCGTTCATGGTAAAAACCATTCTTTGAACTCATTGCTCAAAACGATGCTTCACTCGACTGTTGTTGAATATATTACTGTCATGTGCAGAACCAGGCCTCCGGCATACGAGGTCTGTTATTATTAAGTTTGCGTTACACACAGCTTGTACGGTGAAAGAAAAGTACCCTTTCCTATTTCTAAATATTTCAGCGTTTTCTCCTCCAGGTGACTGGATCCGCACATATGTGCAGTCGATACATCCAATAACCTTTGGGAATTTTGCTATTTGGTGAAAGCTGGTATTTGCATTTTCCATTTCCGTGCTTGTATTTGGCATCTTAATAAAGTCCTTGGAAATACTTGCGATGGCATTGGACACTTTATTAACTACACGACTTGCAGTGGCTACGCTGACTACGCAAAAATCAGCAATAGAAATTAAAAAGCTCCCCGATGCTTAGAAGCGTAATGCCAATAATAACATTTCGGTAGGACTAAGTGGGCAGTTCCTGTGAAATCAATTGAATAAATAATAGAATTTAAAGCTCCCACCACATTTTTACAAACCTTTCCGAACTACTTCTGATTTTTTGCTCTATTTTTGTCAAAACGTATAAAAAACTTTCCTTGGATAGACGAAATCTTCTGTTGAATAAGTTTTCATCATATTTTCTAAAGAAATCAATTCTTTTCCCATGCGTTCTTCGCTTCGGAACACGACTCCGACTTAATTGCGATAATAAATAATTCTGCGCTAAATTTTCCATTGAAAACTTATAAAATCACAAAATTGTGTATGAATATCAGAACAAAAATTTATTTATTTATCGCTGTCAACTGTCAGTTTTGGTTCTAGTTAGCAGTTAACTGGCAGCCGAAGCTCCAGTAAACTTAACTCAAACTTATCTGACAGATGGACGCTAACTACACATGGAGAAAACGAAAATTTAGCTAACTCTAGGTTAAGTGCCTAACTGCAGATGGTGCAAACGGCCCTAAGGGTCGATGGTCAGACTTCACCTTAAAGTGAGTGCCGTAAACATAGGGTCGAAACTGCTAAACCGCGAAATATATAGCTGAAAGTTCAAGTTCTATGATTGGTTTATTTTGTTCTGCTTTGTTAAAAGATTTAGAAGCGAAACATACTGGTAAGTCGTTGCCATTATGATTTTGGCTTAATATAGCACCGCACCCGTTTTTAGAAGCATTTACAGTTATTAAAAATTCTTTAGTAAAATCAGGATATTGCAATAGTTTATGAGACATTAAAGCTGATTTTAAGTGTTGAAATGCAGTTTCACAAGCGTTGTCCCATAAGAATTCGACATTTTTTCTACTCAGTCTATTTAAAGGTGCTGCCAGCGACGCAAAGTTGGGTATGAACCTTCTATAGTAATTTGTAAACGCAACGAAACGACGAACAGCGTCTTTATCAGAAGGTTTTGTATACTTTTTGATTGCGCTTATTTTCGAATCGTCTGGCAGCAGTCCCTTTTCTGAGCATTTGTGCCCTAAAAATGTTACCTCAGAACGAAGAAAATGGCATTTTGTTGGGTTTAGCTTGAGATTAAACTTTCTACTTGTTTCGAACACTTTACTATGATGTCATCAACGTATAAAAAAGCTTGATTTGGCGAGGTGCCTGAAAAGGCTAACGACATCATTCGAGATAAAGTATTTGGTGCTACGTTTAAACCAAATGGTAAAACTTTCCAGCGAAAGCTCCCTTGTCAGTGCTGAAAGATGTTATGCCTCGTGAGTTTTTATGCAATGGAATTTGGTGAAAACCAGAAAACAGATCTAAAGTCGAGAAGTATTTTGCTCGTCCAAGGTTATCTAAGATATCGTCTACACGCGCTAATGGAAATTTGTCAGCGATAAGCTTTTTGTTAACTGCCTTAAAGTCAACACACATGCGGTACGATTTTTGGCCTGATGGGTATTTTTTGGTACTAAATTTAATGGACTATTATAATTAGAAGAGCTTGGTTCGATTAAGTCGTTTCGCAAGAGGGTATCTACGGCAAACGATAGTTTTTTTATATAAACGGGAGTCTTGTCATTCAGTCGAAGATTCTATTCATAAAAGTTACTGCGTGTTTTTAAGGCGTATACATCGGCGTATTGTAAGCATAATTCGAGCA